CTTGACATGAGTAAGTGGCTTGTTGATTTTAAGCTAAAGTATCTTTTTGTAATCGATAGAAATCTTAGTTTATTTACCGTCATAATTTAGTACAAAGTACTAAATTTAGTACAGGTAAATCCAATCCATTAAATTAAGGATAAATAATAAGTCATCATTACTTACAAAATACTTTGCCCATCCATACCTATTATAGAGTTTGAAACCGGTTTTATTTTTCATATGTTAAACCCAGTTTTAATTGGGTTTAACATATGAAAATAAAACCGGTCCCAACCTCTAACCTACTATTATAATCATCGCCAACTAAATCAATGAAATAAGAGTGAATAAGTACTATTTATTTTTCGAAACAGTGGGTATATCAGGGCCTTTCAGGTCCTCATATAGCCGGAGATATACCGGCTTATGGAAAATAAAGGTGTTATTCTTTTTTGATCTACAAATTTCACTTATGCACCTTCATGATAAATCAGTAAATGCCATATTCAAATTTATGACCATCACTGATCTTTATACATTTTAGTAGAGGTGCGATTCGAAAACTATTAGTTAATATAAATAAACTGTAGTTTATTGTAAAACTATAGTTTTAAAATAAACTACAGTTTATTTATATGTACTGTAATTCACAGTTCACATCTCTACATTTTAGAGGATAATCAGATTTTCTCCTACAGTCATGAGACTCAAATTTTTAACGTTAAAATAAATTAAGAGTATAAGTTGTACCATATTTTCACATGAAAAATAATTGTCCAAACGACAGGATACCCATGATAGACAATAATTTTATTACTATATGGGGATGTGTCAATTAAAACAAGGCTTATGGCATTTTTTGCAAAATTGAGTTAGTTATACCATCATATAGAGTAGACGTTCTTTTATATCATTTGACATTTAAAGCATCGATTTACATAATAAAATTTTTGTCGATGCCTACTTTTTGAAATGCTGTCTACGATTAAACATGATCTAAAATTAGAATTTGGTTATCCGATTGTCGATCACTGCTGCAGTGTCATAGGAAAGGACTCGTGTGATTGGCTAGCATATGTCGATCAAACAGGTTATACTAATAATAGATTGTCATTGTTTATTGTTACACCGTGATTTTCTCAAAATAGAAAAATAGCCATAAGCCTTGTTGTTTTAATTGCAGCCCCATATAAGATAAGAAGATAGCTTATCTTATTATCATTACTGTGTTCATCCACTTAACTAATATATAGCATTTAATTCAAAATGATGAAAGTCAACAAATAGATAAGGTGGCTAAGCATGGATATGCTGAAAGCCATCTGATTTTGTCCAGTTTACACCGAATCGAGCACGAGATGATCTACCATTGGGGTGAGCACATGAAGTCAGATAAGTATTATTTAATTAACTACAGTACTAATTTAGAAGCATTATGTAATTACTAACAAGTTAAAGCATCGCGCTAGGACCCCGGATAATTCTAAAAAAGGTAGTATTATTAAACCGGACATTTTTTTGGGCCACGTGATGCCAAATTCTGGTCAAACCAAATTTAAATTTTTGGTTTGACCAGAATTTAACGTCACGTGGCCCAAAAAATGTCCGGTTTAATAATACTACCTTTTTTAGAATTATCCGGGGTCCTATCGCGCTAATGCTGTGAGTCTTGTGAATTAGATAAGCTGAAGTAATGTAATAGTAGAGAATATAGTTGGTGGTAGAACTGATTTTACAAATCAATATGGTTACAGCACATGCCGTATTTTTTGCCATAATTTCTGTAATCCATAATGCCACAATGCTATAATGCCATAATAATGTAAAAAAAATATAAGGAAGGTTAAATGTTAGCTGAGATCAATTTATTACAGAGCTGACTCCTCTTATCTCTTCTGATTAGTTATATGTATATACAGTCATACCTGAGTTATGTCCCCGTATTTTAGCAGAATAAATTTCCTTTTTTTTTTATATAGTTTGCATATTGAGTTACATCCCACCCTAGTTATATCTCCAAAAACTGTTTGGAAAAGGGGGTGATATAACTCAGGTATGTCTGTATTTAAACCTGAGATTTTGCTAACTCCCTCCTATCTACAACATTAGCTTATATCTGAGACTTTCCTAAAGCCGTTTGTCAAAATCCATACAGCATTGTATACTTTTCTTTGAATAATATACTTGCTGTTAATTATTATTATTATTTGATTCTGTCGACTTGGAATTATCATAATTTTTATATAGTTAAGAGGCTCTGCAAGTGTAACATGACTTTGTATAAAAATAGGCAATGAGTTTTATTACAAATCGGGAATTCTATTACAGATTTTTTCTCTGCTAATCAAAATATAAACAGCTCCCCTAATACATATCATTTTAAAATACATAATTATAAATCCAATTATGACAATATTAGAATATAAAATTTTTATATTATATTTTGTATGGTAATTATTTGTCAAATTTCATCAGCTATAAAACTTCAAAACCGTGATCTTACTTCGTGTCTTGCCGGTGTACAAGGCAAATTAGTATATCCCAATGATCCAGAATATTATAACGACCTTATAGATGAAAATACTCGTATAAGTTATACACCATCCGTAATAGTGTATACTAAAATAGTTGCAGATGTTAAATTGTCCGTTTATTGTGCAAGTTCGCTTAATATGAGCATTTCTGTTAGGTGGACATTCTTATGAAAAATATAGTAGTGCTGGTGCGATAGTAGTAGATATTACAAATTTGAATCAAATTGTCATAAATTCAACTGCAAATACCGCGGTTATCGGTGCTGGAAATAGGTTGGGTCCTATTTATTATACATTGAACCAAGCTGGTTTCTTAATTCCCGCCGGGACTTGCCCAAGTGTCGGTATAGGTGGTCACGCATTAGGTGGTGTAAGTAGTTATTATCATATCAATTATATTATTGATAAGTGTGATAAACTAGTATTGTCATTTTTTATTTTCTGACAAGACTAGTTTGCATTGAAAAGTGTATACATTCCGTTTTTACAATACATTATTACTAATGAAAATTCCAGGGATTCGGGCTATATTCAAGAAAATATGGACCCGCGTTAGATAGCATCCTTTCCATAGATCTTGTGGACCCTACCGGACGTAACTGCCGATAAATATACGGATTTGTTTTTTGCCCTCCGCGGAGCTGGTGCTAATAACTTTGGGATAGTCACTTCATTTACATTTCAGATTTATCCTACTCCCCCTACTGTCACATCTATTTCATTAAATTATGATATTACTAAGATTCAGACTTTTTTTGATGCTTATAATCAACTTGGTTCGGCACTTCCTGACGATTTATCATTCTCAATAGTCATAGGTACTGGTTCTGCAGAATTTGTAGGTGTTTATCGAGGAACACAAACGGATGCAACTCAAGCTCTGAGTCAATTTGTTTCATCTTCACAACCAACTTCAACTACATATACGGAAGAAAGTTTTTACAATAGCGTAGTACGATGGGGATATCAGGGACCAAATGGCACAATAAACCCACATCATAATCCTAGCGACTTTAAAGCAAAGTCTTTCTATGTTAAATCACCTGGAATTTCAGCTGCAGGAGTTCAATCTCTCGTATCCTTTATGACAGGTCTTCCCAGCACTTGTACGACATATGCAATATTTGATTTATATGCTGGTGGTGCGGTAACTAGAATTGCTGCAAATGCTACAGCATTCGTTCATAGAGATGTATTTTATTCAATTCAATTATTTACAACTTTAAGTGGCGATAATAGTACTAATACACAATGTTTTAATCAATTAAATAGTTTTGGTGAAATGTTTCAATTAAATTATACTGATTATAGTTCTTATCAAAATTATATTGATCGTGATTTAACTGATTGGCAACATAGATATTATGGAACTAATTTTGATGCTTTAGTTGCTGTGAAAAAAACTTATGATCCTAATAATGTATTTAATTATCATCAAAGTATTCCTTTGTCTTAGTTTATAATTCATCTTTATTAATATATAATTTTATTGTATCTAAAATTTTAAATAATAACAAAGCATTATTTTTATGTGACTCTTTAAATATTAGAAAATTCCACAAAAATTATCTGAAAATTTCGTCAGTAAAGTTGTATAATTATGTTGTTTTTTTTCTTACTTTATTACAGTATATCAGGAGTGAATGTAATATTAATTACTTTGTTATGGATAAAATGGCTATTAAAGTAAAATTAATTGGATATTTATTGCTAAACTATATCATCAGGAAAATTAAATAAAAAACTGCAAAATTTTTCATGATTTGAATGTTTACACAGAATTTATTTAATTTTTGTGGCTATAGCTGCTGAGTATGAGGTTTTGCGTAGAATTTCGTTTGAATTTATTATTTAATTTTTTTGCAAATCTGCGTAGAACTGCACTAAAAAATTTTCCCGATGATAGCACAAAAGTCACATGATATCATGTGTTACACAAGTCAAATAAGGAAATCTTATTGTATGAATAAAAAGTTACTAAAAAGGTAGATAATAAATTGTGCGATATTAGTTAGTAATTAAGTAATTTTAGTGAAATTTAACAAATACTAAAATTATTAATCTTTAAAGGTTTTGTTCTGAAAATTATCTGATTAAATAGTATAAATTGATTTTTTATATATATTGTGGATAGATTTGGAATTCTCAAACTATTTTAAGTAGAAATAGAATTTTAAAAATTTGTAAGCAATTTAAATTTTAATAATAAAAAATATATAATTTTATAGTTAACAACATTATATTATTGTTATATTATTTATTTATTTTATAAAGTACTACAGTACATTATAAAATTTTTTTGATTTTAAACTCTTTGAAAACAAATAAGATTTTTTAAACTCTTATTTAATTTTAAAATGCACCACTTATTTGTTAACTTTGAAACCCCCTAGTATATTATTTTTATTTTAACAAATTTAATTACAATATAAGAAACATAGAATATTTTAAATTGGGCATATTGTAGTTAAGTAAAAAATATTTGTAATTAAGTAATCATAATTAAATAATTTTTGCACTTTTCGAATTGTCTTAAAGAGACATTTTTAATAGTACAAAAATTATTTAGCTCTGATTATTACAAGATATTTTTTCATTTGACACAATAACTATCTTTTTTGATAAACTAAAATGTAGAGACAAATAGAAAATCTGAGATAAGTTATATTAACTTTGATTTCTAAATTAATAATTATTAAAAAATCTTTCATTATATTATAAAAAAAAAATTATTAAAACTCAAGTTTATTATATTCAAATAAAAAACTGTTATTTTTAATAAAGTATGAATAATATTTTATTTATATATAATACAGTTGTACTCATCTATAGTCATCTCCTACATAATTACAACTTCTATCACACAAAATTTTGAAACAATTTATTAATAATCTTATTAAAAAATACTTCCATATAAGTACATTATAGTTATAATCACATATTTGTGTAAAACAAACTAAGTGATTATAGAGAAGGACAACTATACTGTATTAAAAATGCTGTTTAAACAAAATATAAATTTAATATTAAAATGCAATGAAAAATCTACAAAAACTATGTTAAAAAATTTTATTTTCAGTTATATAAAAAAATTACTTTACTATCTCTATTATATACAAATACTTTATTAAATTGTTATAGGATACAAATTTTACTTCAAGTAGTTTTTATATATAATAAATAAAAAAAATTATCAAAAGGAAACAACAGCAGCTACTAACAACTTGAAAAGAATACATGTACTATATATAAAAAAGAAAAAAAATGACTGCTAAAATAATACAAAATATTAAAAAAATGAGCCATTTGTATAATATAAAAATTTTAAATTGTTTTTTCAAAAGTTATATTAAATATTAAATATTGTTAATATTTGATCTGAATATAGTATTAATATTGAATTTAAATTTAAAGATTGATATAAGATTTTCTATTTGCAATATAAAGCTGTTAAAAGATTATAACAATATCAACAATTCATTTTGATCTTAATTAATAAAAATTTTATTATTTATAACTCTAAAGTAATTGAATTTAATATTTTTTGCATTCATAAAAATATCTCAACTGAACTTTTCTTTATTATAGAGTTATTTTTTATTCAAATTTAGTTAGTAAGAAAGTTTATTTAAATTTAATATAATTATTACTATACACTAATTATAAATATTTATGGCACAATTCTAGATTTAGCAGTGAAATTGATTTCATTTAGGCCTGTCACACTATCTTAACTTATCTTAATTCCTTTACTATTGATGATACAGATACTAACTCACTGAGCAACCACAAAATTCTTATTTCTCGCTGGTCCTTCCCATAGGGACAATGCAGACATAAAACACGTACTCACAGAAGGGTCTTTAACTACAAGGCTATAAATGTAACAAAATGGGAAGAATTATCAAACCAAGTCAGCACCAATCTTAATTCTCACCACACACCCTCTTTAACTCTTACCCCAGAATCTCTGAAACTACCTGGCATAAAATTCATACTAGTATAATCACAGCTGCTCTGAAACATATTCCTAACAAAAAATATACTGTCCATAATTTCCAGCATATATTTTCTTCCAAGGCTACTCACTTACACTTAAAAAACTTGGAAATATTATTCGACAAACAAAACATGCTCTAAAACACCAATCACCCATTCCTTACTATCTCAATAACTCTATCTCTTCGCTTAATCAAGCTTCTTAGTTACATATTCCTCAACTTCCCAGTTCACACCAACTTCTTACTTCTTGGATTACTGATGCTAACTTAGAGTGGAAAAATCTCTTCAATG